AATTAAATTTCCTTATGGCGCAATTAAGTTGCAACTCAATTGAAATTTGAAAATAATTATGGGGACCATCTTTAGACTATATCTAGTATATCCAATTGGTTTGAGTGAACTTGGCCAATAGAAAGTGAAAATGCAGGATATATAAAAGCACGAGCTATACCAAATCTTGGAAATTGGACATTATTTTCTCCTGCTCAGATTTAAAATTTTATGAAGGGTGAAGTCAATAAGCCATTATCACAATTATCCAAATCAACAAAGTCAAAATTTCCATGGAAAATACTTGTTTCACATGCATCAGGTAAAGTGATATATATTCATCATTGAATATATTGAACCTATAATATCACCAAATATTGCTAGCAGTGGTTCCAACATTTGCCTTGTTGAGCTTGTATTTTACCTAACAATTTTTTTAGAAATTAGTTTTTTTTTACAGTGATAGAAAAAATAGACTCCAAAACATTATCTATTTCACCTATTACACATCCTTACCTCATTCTTATGTATAGAATTTACCCTTCCATCCATATAGTTACATATCCTTAATATTATATTGGCATATTAGGAGTTTGTCTAAAACGATTACCATTACAAGAATTAATAAATGAGTTGCAAAATCGGGGAATTGACTATGGAAATCAAAATAAGAGACAAAAGTTAGTAGAAATTTTAGATAAAGAAATGATGCAGGAAACTTTGAAAAATGAAGGTAATTACATGTATTTGTGATTTTTACAATTACCAGTTATAAAATTTTCTAACTTCATATTTTTTAGGATCACGTCTGAGAAATCGAAGTATGTTGAATAAAGAATACAACATAAGGTAAATTAGATATATTTCTGACTCAAAGAGACATATGGAATTGAATATTTTATATATTGTAGACCTTTAGACGCAAGTGAATTTCCACTAGCAAGTGGTTGGGCAACAAAAGAAGTCCAAAAATATGGAAAAAAGGCGGCAAAAAATGCATAAAAAAAATATTTCAGCTATTTTAGAAGAATGTTTTTTGGCTGAAAATGTTGATAAGAGTCACCGAATGACTGCTCAAGATATGTGGAATTTATTGACTTTAAAAGCACAAGAAGGAGAAATTGAAAGTTTGGATATACTGAAAGTAGTGATTATACAAGGCTGGATAACCCATTACGCAGCACAGTTATGCAAAAAAAGTGCTCAAACAGTGCTCAAAGAAAGTTATTTATAATATATACATATATCTTATATGTTAATAGTATAGTCATTATAGGCGGAAATCTGGTGAAGTGTCAAATAAAAATAAAAAATTTTATTATAAAATTTTTTTAAAAATTACATCATTAAAAACTTCAGGATTAGCATCATGTAATACGGGTGTTTTTATTGTGTTTAAGTACATATAAAGAATGGTTACTCAATGACAGAAAACTGCGTATCCTGAAAAAAGTAATAGTGATCGACAAAAATTTGCACCAAAATTAACTATAAATTTTTTGCAATTGACTTACGTATCACGAATTAACTAGCATGATATTACATTACAAATCTTAAATATTATAATTAGTAAATAATATGAAGTACTACTATAAATATAAAATTAATAACCTTATTCTGTAAAATTTACATAATTTTGCATTAAAAATATTCTCGTTGTATTTTACATTTATATCAAATATCAGCAGAAGACAAATTTTTTCATTATAATATATGAGTTTTTACATTTATTTTGAGTAAAAGATCCAATTTATATCAAATATTAGCAGAAGACTTAAATTCATAATGTCTTCAAATATTTCATATCCATATGTGCTGCATGTAGAATACAATCCTCCAAGATCCTCTCAG